GGGAAAAAAAACACCCAATTCAAGCGTAAGCGAGGTCTATTGATCCGGACTTTCTTCTTTTGTCATGGGAAAGAAATGCAATATCTAACAAATTAAAATCAATTGTATTCCAGGTAAAAAATGCACTCCCAACAAAATTAAAGCGCGGTTTTCTGAGATGATGACATATCGTTGAAATCATCTCAAAAACACAAAATTCTGGAAAAGGTCACAAAAGTTGAGATAAAATTAGGAAAAAACACCGACTATAAAAGACTATTTTATTTTAATTAAATACTTTGGCTTAATTAAAGCCATTGTCCTTTTTGACCATTTTAGTTTAACTATTCGGTCTTTCTTACTCTTGCCTCACAAATCTTGAGTTATGTTGACTTGTTTTTATGTCTGTTGTCACTGATGCAACATATCCAGAGCCTACATTGATAAATAAATGAAAGCTCCCAATTCTTTTATAGTGATAACACCTTGAAGTCTTGTTTAGCAATATATACCAACGCACTTTTGCAATTTCCTAGCTTAAGAAATATGGAATGGCACGTGAGACCAGGCAAATGCCTATGACTGATAACGAAGAGCTGGTCTTGGAAGATGTTTAGCGGAGATCACCAATAATTCAGTTTTGTCTTTATTTAATTTAAGGCGATTAACCATCATCCAATGATTGATTTCATCCACACAGCTCTCGATGCTAGAAACCGCTAGATCCCTATCACCCAGTACGGTTGGTTGGAAAGACAAGTAAAGCTGTGAGTCGTCAGCATAAAAGTGATAGCTCAGGTTAAATTTCTTTACGATATCTGAAAGCGGTGAAGTATAAAGCAAATACAAAATGGGTCCCAAGACAGATCCCTGTGGCACTCCACATTTAAGGTCATGTTTCGTAGAAGTACCACCATCAACGGAGACATATTGCGTGCAATTCGATAAATAACATTGCAACCATAATAGAGGCTTTCCAGCTATCCCAAACCGTACACGTAAACGAGAGAGGAGGATGGTATGATTGACTATATCGAAGGCAGCGGAAAGGTCTAACAACAGTAAAATTACGATTCGACGATTATCAATGGCAGAAAGAATATCATTGTGAACACGAATAAGTGCAGTTTCAGTACTGTGATATTGCTTGTACGCCGACTGGAATGTCTCATTTAACTCATATTCCTTAATGTAGGAGATAAGTTGATTAGCTACCAATTTTTCAATTGCTTTGCTAATAAATGAAAGATTCGATACAGGACGATAATTGCAAAATTGAGTATGATCCAAAGAAGGTTTCTTAAGGAGTGGGCGTAACATGGCAACCTTGAGTTGCGAAGGCATCTCACCAGATTCCAATGAGATATTTATGATTTTGGAAATGAAATGCAACATAACACTAAGTGCATTTCTTGTAACATAACCAGGAAGAGGATCAAGAGCACATGACAGCAGCCAGATTCATGATACATGTATGAACTTCGTCCGCTGTAACCATTTTTAAAATATCAAAAGAATATGGACAGGCGTTGTCAACAACAGCAACTGTATCTCGATGAGAGAAAGCAGCAGTCGTTAGATGACCCCGTATTCTATCTATCTTTGTAGTGAAGTAATCAATAAACTTGTTAGCAAGATCAGTGGGCGATTTTCAGGCGGGATATTGAATATCTGTTTTCCTTTGTAGTAGTTTATCAATTATCTTAAAAAGCTGTTTATAATTTGACTGATTCTCATTGATTAATGATGCGAAATAATTCTTCTTGGAGTCACGAATTAAGTTGTTGACAGTATCACATCCCTCAATAAACAACTCACGATCAGAAGGAAGTTTGGTCATTCGCCAGCGTCGTTCAAGTTTTCTACGGGATCTCTTTAAATTATTTATCTCCTCAGAATACCAAGGTGCAGCGGGACGCAAAGTAACTATCTTGGTTTGCAGTGGAGCATGAGTCTCAAGTATGGAAGTAAGGACTCTCTTATATTGATCAATCAAATAATCCAAGGATGAAGATGACGAGGCAAAAAGATCAGGAAGGCTCGAATTCATAACATCAGCACAGAAATTATCAAAATCAATGGATCGAAGCTTTCTGAATGAAATAGTCTTCTTGTCGAGCGGCGGCTTATTAAGCGAGAGCTGGGAGTGAACAGCAGCATGATCAGAGATAACAAAAGGAGAACATTGTCACTTAGGATTTAATTCACCCGTATTGACTCTTGAGCTTACTCAAATGTAAGGAGGTTCAAACTTCAATGACATGAAACTTCAACTATAATTATACCTACGTATTTTGTGCACGATCCTCGCAGTAAAGAGCACTATTTAAGCAATAGTGAAAATCAGACTTGAAAAAATTCAGGCCTGTACGGGATTCGAACTACTGACCTCTGCCATACTAGTGCAGCGCGCTACCATTTGAGCTAACAAGCCAACTGGGAGCAGGTCATCAAATTGGTTCGACATAAACCCATAAGATGATATACTTATTGCATCTTTTAGTCTTTTTGTCTGTACACATCAGTTCATAATTGAGGCTATGTGTGGTCGGGAAGTAGTTTAACTGCACAACCCTTGAACTCCTGCCTCCCTCCTTTCTCACCACCACCGTCACCTTTGTCTTTATCTTTGTCTCCACATTCATCTCCAACATCCTCATTTTCATATTCATCTTCATGCTAATTAATAACAATCTTTTTTTATTAAACTTACCATGAACACTCAGTGCTGCAGAGGAACTAGTTGAAATTTCTTTGCATTTTGCTGTGCACGTGTAAGTCCCCTCCATCTCTTTTGTGACACGTGGAAATTCCAGCAGTGACTCTCCTTCTTGATCAGTCTGATGGATACCAGATGGCAGGTCGTCATTATTAAAATCCCAGACAAATGTTGGTGTTGGAACACCTGAGGCTACGCAACTAAAGTTGACAGGGTATCCTTCGGTAACAGACTGGTTTATTGGAGGCGCAGTGATCTGGGGAGAGACTTAAGGAAAAAATATCACCAAGTTAAACAAAGGGTCGCATTGTCCATTTTGCCATAAACCTATGATTCCAACGTGGGAGAACAATCTACTTTCCATCAATTGTACGGAGACATGTTGTCAGCTTGTCAATCAATACTCGAGTGACATTTACGTTGAAACACATTTATGTATAACATCATCTTACATTCTACAAACACTTAATACACCATGTCATCTGAAAAACAACTGTTTGGACGAAGATATTGAACAGAATCCCCAGTGGGCCGGAGCCGTCCTAGACGAGTTATTCGCCATTGCAAAAGAACAAGCTACCACGCAAGATCTTTGTGAAATACGCAGACAAGTGACTAAATACATTGATGAAATTGAAACCTATGATTCCAACGTGAGAGAACAAACTACTTTCCATTAATTATACAGAGACATGATGGCAGCTTTTCTAGCTTATGTCACGTATTTACAAATCAAATACTGTGCTTTGTAGACAAATGAATTATATGCAAAACCAAATGTTGTACTTAATTCCTCCGCCATATTGGATTCTTTTGTTACCTTTGTACCGTTAAATTTTGAAAACCCTACTCACGAACCTACGCGAAATTTAACCCTAACCCCAAAAACCCCCACCTATACCTACGCTATATTTAACCCTAACCCTAATAACCCCTCCTAATTTAACCCTAACCCTAAAAATCACCCCCGCACACCTACGCGGTATGAATAACTAATTAGATCTTACTCGGCCGAGAAACTCGGACCCAGGCCGTTCGGTTATTTCCATACAGGCGCCCTAGACTACTCTCTCGCTACCTGCGGTGTAAAGCTGAGAAAGAGTTTTACCTAAGGAGAAAAGAGTTGAAGATGAAGAAGGAAGAAATGGAGCTACAGAAAGAATTGCAGCTGAAAGCTGTTCAAAAACAAGCCTCAGCAACTGACACTATGGTTAAAATGCTTGAACATTTTCAGACACAACAGGTAAACGTACAGCAGCAGATGTTGCAACAGCAACAGCAATACCAAATGATGATGCAGCAGCAGTCGCAGCTCTTTTTGTCTGTAATAGATAGGCTGTCTAAAAATTGTCCCAAATCGGACTGAAGCATGCTCTTGAGTGTTTCTATTTGTCAAAATTCCCTGTGCGGTTTTAGGGATAGATTTCATGTTCGATGCTTACAACTGTTGTTTAAAATGAGAGAAGCATGCATTTTAATGATTAATCGATATTTTACCTAGTTGCAGTGTTTGGTTATGCATACTAGTCTGTACCAGGATAGGCTTTTGGATCTCTATTCATGTGTATGATCTTTTAGCAGCTAACTGTTGTGTTCAAATAAATAATATTCATATCACAAGCAAAGCCACATTCTTAAAAACATTCAAGCAGTATCTTAAAATGCAGCACCAATTTTTCTCAGATAAAAATAATACTTCCATAGACTAGACACACTGTTAGATAACCTTTTTAAGATACAATGGTTGCATAACCATTATATCTAAACAGAAATTAATGTTTTTTTTTTTAAAAACAATATCATGATAATTGAAGTCTTGCTGTTTAAAATACACATGTAGCCTGCTAGCAGGCTGAGGGCTGGAGGTTAGGAAGAAGGGTTCTCAACTCCTCAAAGAGTTTGATCACGGGCTTAACTATACTTATCAAGTCAGCAAATCCTGCCTGAAAGTGTATATTAGCTCCATTTCTTAACTGCTCTATGTGAACCGAGTAGACAAATGGGCCAGTCTTGTTTGATTGAGCTACACCTTTTATATTTCAAGATGCCAATGGGCCCATAAAGCAAAGCTTTTTCTTCATCCAATTAGCATTTCTGAGATTTTTAAACCTTTATAACACGGATTTTTGAAGCTCAACTTAAGTATTTCTATCAGTTAAGTATCGTATGGATTTCAAATTTCTTGCAGTGTACAAAGCCAACCATCTTAATGCAACTATTACAAAACTATTAGGAAAATTCACCTTTTTGATTTTTTATAGATTTGAACAGCACCAAAGTTACAAAGTTCTGTGCTTGTGCCATATCACCTTGTAAAATTTAAAGCCTCTTTCATTCTATCTTACATGTATCTCATTCAGTTGCTACTTTGTTTTCATTATTGCAAAACAAAAACATGGTAAGACAGAACGAAAATTGCCCAAATTATAGAGTTCATAGGGATAAGATACACAATCACCATGACGTTATTCGTGGGGCTTAACTCCAAATCTTGATACCTTTGTGCCCAACTTGATTGAAAATTCACTTAAGAAAAGTACTCCTGTAATGAAGGTGGTCCTAAGTTGTTAAAGCTGCTGGTCGATGTGGGATACAAACAGGTTCTAGCATTAGTTAGCAGTGCACAAATAATATACATTTTCCCCACTGCACTTAGACCTATCTT